TCAGGAGGCGGGAGCCAGGGAGGAGGGCTAGGAGAGGCCACAGCTTCAGCTGGAGCCAGACCCGCTGCCACTCAGGTGACCGGCGTCCTCTCCGCTTCCCACACCACGCTGACACAGCTAGCGGGTGGCCGGCTGCAATGATCCAGAATGTCGGAAGTCACCTGCGGAGGGTACGAAGGGAGGGCGGGCTGGGGGTGGGTTGGTGGCACAGGGGAGGCTGAGGGCCGGGCCGGAGAGACACTGGTGTTTTCATTTTAAGTCAGAAGCTCTGATCTCCCCTCTCCCTTTCCACAGGCCATTTTCGAGCTCTCTTTGGAAGCAGACTTTGCACAGCCCCTGGGCTGGGTTATTATTAGCAGCAATCCCCAGACAAGCCCCCTGGGCCATCGGGTCCCGAGAGCTGGCACTGTTGAGTGGAATTGCCTTGGGCTAGCTTTGGCTTCTGGAATTCTATTCTTGGGGGTGTGAGTTTGGTGCATGTTCCAGCCGGACATCTGGGCTCCGTGGCCCTGTGGTGTCCACTCTCTGAGCCCCAGCCTAAGGGCCACGGATCTGCTGGGTGTTTCAGGGTGAGGTGTGCGTGCCGGTGAGTGCGTGTGACAGGGTGAGCCGGGGATTCTCCAGGACTGGGACCTCTTTGAGAACAAGATGTCCTATACAGTGACCTTGAAGAGAACTTTTGCCGGGAACCTCCTAGTGAACTTTAGAGCTGAGATTAGGCGCCGAGGCACATGGCTGACCCAAGTGCTCAGCGGCGCCGGGCGGGGGCCTTTGATCTGGTACCTGTCACTGGCAGAACTTGTGCGGGGCATGGAGTGGCTGTCCTCTGAGGGCGTTTTCAGGAAAAGCCTTTTCAGAAAGGCTGGGGCACATAGTGTCCCAGCCATCCCCTCCCTCTGCATAGCCACGGCTCAACCCAGCATCCTCACCCTGCCCTGTGCCCTGTGTTCTCCCTGGGTCCCCTGGGCCACCTGCCGCCCCCCTCAATCTGCCCTCCACACTGGGGGGGCGGGCTTCCAAGAGGCAATACGGTTCTTCGCCTGCTCAGACAGCTACCTTCAATGTGACTTTCACATTCCTTACAAGGGGATCGTGGCAGTCCGGCCCGGCCACGCCTCCCTTCTCCCCTCACCGTTCCCATCTCTGCGTCCCCAGCAACAGCCATACTGAACTGCTTTTCCCTGCCTCAGTGTACCACCTTTGTTCTGTCCCCCCCCCCGGCTGTGCCTTCTGCCCGAGTTACCCCCAGCCTTCCTTCCTCCCCTAACTTGTCTCCCTGGAGAGTTCCTCGGAGCTCTCAGATCTCAGTTCAGATGCTGCCTCCTCTGGAAAGCCTTCCCAGATTTCTTACGAACCCGCGAGCCTTTGCGTTAGCCCCTTCTCACACCGGATTGTGTGCTTGACTTCTCTCTCCGTCTCCCCCACCAGCTGGCGAGCTGAATGCCCAGCACAGAGATGGGTGTGACCACAGTCCAGGCAGTGTTCAGAGAATGAATGGGAACAGTGTCTCAGCCAGGCCACGGGATGGGAGCTGAGAAGAGGGCCACTTGCTCCTGTCACCCGGGCACAGGGCAGAGAGGGTCTTCCAGGTGGGTGGGGCTGCCCTGTTGTACTTAACTCTTTTTGACTTTTTCCCGGTTGATCCTCGTTGGCAACTTGGGGGTGGGGCCTCAGGCAGAGATGTGCCATGATCACCATTTTACAGAGATAATGATAACCTCCTTGCGTGGCTCTGACCGTGCTGGGCGCCATGCCCAACCCTGCATATGATAACTTGTTCAGTTCTCTGTGAGGCTGGTACCGTTATCCTTCCCTATCCCAGAGTAGGAATCTGAGGCTTGAGAGGATCAGTGACTTGGTCGAGATCACACTGGTAGGAAGCACAGAGCTGGGGTTTGAGCTCAGCCGTCGGCTCCAGAGTTTGAGCTCTTAAGGAACCCAAAGCTCAGCCAGAAGAAGGCCTAGACATGGGATTCTGACGCACACAATCCAGTTGGCATTCAGCTTCCTGGCACTGGGGTGGAGGTGGGCGTCGGAGTGAAAGCTGGGCCCTTGAGGACACAATGACCTCGTGTCAGCTTAGGACACTCTGGCCTTGATGGCAAGTCTCCTTGGATGTCCCTTGCTTCTTCTTGAGTTCTGATTGCTCTGGATTATGGGAGGGCTTGAGAACATTTTCTGGCTTGGTAGCAAAACTATTTTTTTTTTTTTGAGTTGGAGTCTCACTCTGTCGCCCAGACTGGAGTGCAGTGGCACACTCACAGCCACCACAACCTTGACCTGCTGGGCTCTGGTGATCCTTCCGCCTCAGCCTTCCAAGTAGCTGGCGTGCGCTACTACGCCCGGCTAATTTTTTTTTGATTTATTGTAGAGATGAGGTCTCGCCAAGTTGCCCAGGCAAGTCTCGAGCCCGCAGGCTCAGGCAATCCACTCAACTCAGCCTCCCAAAGCGCAGGATTACAGGCTGAGCCACCGAGCCTGGCTGCAAAACTATTTTTTTTAAACTTATTTTTAAATTTTATTTTATTAGCAAAGCTATTTCTGATGAAAAACATGCAAGCCAGAAAAGCCCCACTGTCTTCACTGGGGACTAAAGGTTAAACTGGGTGGGATGCCCTTTCCAGTGTCCTATGGTATGGCAGATGGAGTGGGTGTGGGAGTCCGACGGTTCTGCTCCTAATCGCCGCGGGTACCCAGCGAGCACTGGACATTTGCAAGGGTGGTGGGTGAATGAATGGAGCGGTGAGTCTGCTGCCCAGCTGGGGGGTGGGAGGGGTGCTGAGTGCCCGTCTGGTGGTGCTGGAAAGGTTTCCAGGTCCTGGGTCCGTCCTGGCATCTCCCAACTGGGAACTCTTCTCTTTTCCCCATCCAAGGTGTCGGTCTACACTGGGTACTGAGCCCTGAACTCCTGGGTGGGCAGGGACCTGGTGGCACCCCAGTGGGGGGCAGGTGGCACTCCTGGGAATTCTGGGGACCTCTGCTCAGCCTCGGGTCTGGCCTGGCCTGGGTCAGCTGTTGGTGGGACTTAGGAACTTCTTTTACTCCGGGAATGGCAGTGGGGCTGTTTGTCCCAGGTCCCCCGAGAAGCCCTGTGCCCAGGTGGTGCTGCTGGCAAGGTACTGGAGGGTCAGAAGCAGGGGGTGTGCGTGCATGCATTCGCCCACCCACAGACCTCTCCACTGCCTGCTGCCCCCCAGTGTGAACCTCTGTTTCACATTGGACCTGATGACAGCTGGAGGGGTCCCCTAGCCTCCCCAGCCTCGTTCAGAGTCCAGCCCGCATGTGGGAGGTTTCGGGCACAGTGACTGGGGATAGATCTTACGTTCACCACTCACTTTGTGACCCTGGCCGGGTGTTCTCTTCTCTGGATCTCAGAGGCTGGTGATCCCTGAGGTCCCAGCCAGCATGCACATCCTGGGGGTCTGAAGGTTTGTGAAGGATTTGTATGCCACAGGGAAAGGCAGGGGCTGGTCTCTCTTGAGGGTCTCATTGTATGTCAGAGGAGGGGAGACCCTAGACGTAAAACGAGTGTTTGCAGGAGCAAATCACTCCTGAATGAATGACTGTGGGTGCTCAGAAGGGGGCTGAGGTGCTCTCAGAAGGCTTCCAGGAGGAAGAAGTGAGATTTGTACACTTAGCAACAGCCTGTACAGGAGCCATATGCCAACCCTGGTTTCTGACATGGGCAGAGACCCTTCGTGCTCTTAGTCTGTCTGGAGGACTCTTTTTTCTTTAAAATTTTATTTTAATGTGCACGGCGGCTGGGCGTGGTGGCTCAAGCCTGTAATCCCAGCACTTTCGGGGGCCAAGGATTGCCTGAGCCTGCGTGTTCGAGACCAGCCTGGGCAACATGGTAAAACCTTGTCTCTACAATAAATTAAAAAAAAATTAGCTGGGTGTGGTAGCACACACCTGTAGTTCCGGCTACTTGGAAGACCGAGGCAGAAGGATTGCTGGAGGGCAGAGGGTCGATGCTGGGGTAGCCACGAGGGTGCCGCTACACTCTATCCTGGGTGACGGAGTGAGAAACCAACTTAAAAAAAAAAAGTGTGTAGCATAGGGGGATTACAGGAGAATGATTACTCCATTAAACGTTAAAAAAAACTTTATTTATTTTTAAATGGATCAATAACGGTGTATTTTTTCTTCTTTTGAGTTGGAGTCTCACTCCACCCAGGCTGAAGTGCAGTAGCACTCTCACGGCCACCCCAGTGTTGACCTGCTGGGCTCCGGCAATCCTTCCGCCTCAGCCTTCCAAGTAGCCGGAACTACAGGCGCGCGCTACCACATCCGGCTAATTTTTGATTTAGTAGAGACGAGAGAGGTCTCACCAAGTTGCCCGGGCTGGTCCCGAACCGTGGGCTCAGGCAATCCACGCGCCTTGGCCTCCCAAAGTGCTGGAATGACAGGCATGAGCCATTGTTCCTGGTCTCCATGTATTGTTTTCTTGAAAAATGTGGAGAGACTGGTTGTGCTCTCATCACAATATAAAGACTGCGTAACTGGGCTTGGTGGCTCAGCCTGTAATCCCGTGTTTTGGGAGGCTGAGGTGAGACCCGCCTGGGCAACTTGGTGAGATCTCATCTCTACAATAAATAAAAAAATCAACCGGGCGTGGTAGTGCATGCCTGTAGTTCCAGCTAGTTGGAAGGCTGAGGCGGAAGGATCGCTGGAGCCCCGCAGGTGGAGGCTGCGGTGGCCGTGAGCATGCCACTGCACTCCAGTCTGAGGGACAGGGTGAGACTCCAACTCCAAAAAAAAAAAAAAAAAGACCGTGTGAGGCGATGCATTTCTTAATTAGCTAGATTTAACCCTGTGTTGGCATATGCAAAAACATACAATGAGGTCAGGTTCTGAACTCCTGGCCTCAAGTTATCCTCCTACCTCAGCCTCCCAAAGTGCTGGGATTACAGGCACAAGCCACCACCCAAGTCTCTTTGGGATTTTTTTATAATAGCCACTCTAACAGGTGTGAGATGATATTGCATTGTGGTTTTGATTTTCATTTCCTTGATAATTAGTGATGCTGACCATTTTTTTTTTTGAGTTGGAGTCTTACTCCATTGCCCAGACTGGAGTGCAGTGGCTGCTCCCGGCCACTGCAGCCTCGACCTGCTGGGATCCAACGATCCTTCCGTCTCAGCCTTCCAAGTAGCTGGAACTACAGGCA